GTGTATTTCGATGACAGCCTGGAGATGAATGAGCTTCAAGGCCAGCCGCGCCCTGACCCCCTGGATTGATACAACGGGGTCAGCGAACCACGGCGCTGGGATTACCATGTACGACCCTGAAGCCCCCACCCCACCCCGCCGCCGAAGCGAAAGCGCAGCCTGCAGGCGGCTTGCGCTGGGGCGTTTGTGCCACGCCCCGGGGTCCCTGAATGCATCGTCTTATTACACCTATGTTACCAAGTGCGGTTCTTTGGCATGTCCAAGGTGATGAATCTGAGCATATGTCTACCTGGGCATACTTCATCCATCCTCAAATTTTCTGTGCGCACGTCTGGATCTCTGGCATACACACATCTATCTCTCGCCTGTTTGTCCTACCACAGCCACATGCGTGTGGCATTCGAGACATGATTACCAACAAAGGTGCTGGCCTCTACTGTCAGTACTTGATTTGGGGGCGCAAGCCAGCACACAATTCATCAGAGTTAGATACTGCCGGGGCTGTACTGAGAGTTCACGTCTTGGGTCTAATCAGCCTGCGCGACACAACATCGTACACACCCCGGAACTGTCCGCAAACTTGCGATCTGAAGACTGAAAGGTCAGCACGGTCTCGCCTTCGAAGCATGGCAACTTCCAGGCGAACGTCCTCGATGGGCCAGCCAGACGTCAGACGTCCGAAGTGGCAAGCCTCAACAAACAGGTTGGCAAGAGCAGCACTCCATGCACGTAGTCGAGCATTCAAGTGGCGTAACACGTACATTGTCCACTCATCGCACTCGCGTCAGATTGTCGCGCCGAGCAGACCACGGTTCTCGCGCGACCACTTCCAACAAAGAGCATAAAGAACATACAGAGATGAAAATCTCTGTCATCTTATTTCGTGTTTCTCATACTTCGTAGAACGCTTGATGTCTCCATTTTGCAATCATGGAGTCCAGACGAAGTCGTGCCCTGATTCTGTGCGAACAGCCCACACGCATACGCGACAGACGGCACAACCCTCGCAGCGTGCACAGATCCAACATGTTCACCACGCATCGAACCGCCCCCCCTATCCTGCCGAGAACCGTCGGACCCCTCGTCTGCGAGGCGTGCTGTTGTGCTCGCCACCCCGCCATTGAACCTCCCAGCGTCCTTATTTTACTTCGTGCCGCTCTACCCAGCATGATATCCCATCTGCCGTATCCCACCGCAGAGGTTCCGAGTCCTGGACCTTGAGGTCGGCCTGCATACTGCTGTACGTGAGGCCGTCGGAGAGCTGCTCCTTGCCCAGGCGTTTGGCTTCCGTGTTGGCGTCCTTGAGATGCGCGTACGCGCCGAGGGCGACAAATTCATTGCCACCACAGTCGCGCCAGAGCAGGACGTAGACATGCGGCCCGGAGCCTAGTAATTTCGACGCCATGGTTTTTTTTCTTTCGTTGTTGATTTCTGGTCCCGACGCTGATTGAGGCTGAACACGGCCTCGCGATTCGTGGTTAGGTGGCGAATTCAAAGGCGTGGCGGGTTGCGATGAGACGTTTGATGGAGTGTTGTCTGTGACCATGCGGCAAACCGTGGCCATGCGCTCATTTGAACATCGGTATCGCAGTGTCGTCGTGTCAAGTTGGGACAAATGGGATCGAATCTTGATGCTCGTCCCATGACGGCGTGTCGTTGGGTTGTGGGAACGGAGGCGTGCGCTCGTGATGTCTTGGCGGGGGGCTATGGTTCTTCAGGAGCATGACGTCGGCGGTGATGCATGGCGACCATGTTCGGCTGGACGGCACTACGTAATAGCACGCCTGGGCACTGGTCGGCGAGTGTGGGACCCACAGGTGCTCGGCCCCGACCCCGAAGCGCCGGAGGCCGGCGTCGTGTTGGACCTATCGTCCCGAATCGTTCTCCCGATAAGCGAGACACGTGTTTACCGTTTTGTAAATAAGGGGTACCAAGTGCTGTACAGATGGCTTTGATTTCTTGCTTCGCTAAAATGACAATCTACTGCGTTCCGAAGAGCATGCCGCCGTTTGCGCACACAACCTGTCCTGTGCACCACGCAGACTCAGCAGACACCAACATGCCCACAATACCAGCAACCTCGCCGACATACGCCGGACGACCGCCTGCCGTCTCCGCCTCCTTGACGAGCGCATCATCGTCGATGCCGGGACGAGCCTTCATCAGGGGCGAGTGCTCGATGAAGCCCTTGATGAAGCGCTTAAACTCGGGCGTGTTGCTTTCGTACATCTCGGTCAGGACGGGGCCCGGGTTGATGGCGTTAACGGTCGCGTTTTCGCTGAGCTCGCGAGCCCAGGTGCGCGTCATAGCCTCGAGCGCGGCTTTGGTGCCACCGTAGACGCTCTGGCCGAAGAAACCGGTGGAGGAGCTGACGGACGAGAGGTTGACGATGCGGCCGGAGCGATCGTTGGGCAGGTAGGGCTGAACGGCTTGGACGAGAAGGAGCGGCCCGAGAACATTGACGCGGTAGGACGTGTCGAACTGGTCGACGGTGATATCGGGAATGAGGTTGTTCAGGGCTACACCAGCGTTGTTGATCAGAATGTCGATCTGGAACTTGGCGATGCCCGTCTCAGAGGCCTGCTTCTTGGCCGACTCGACCAGAGCGGCAGGACCAGTAGGGGTCCCGAGATCAGCCTGCACGGGCAGGGCGATGATGTTGTGCTTGCCCTTGAGGTCGGCAGCCAGCTTCTCAGCGCGGGACTGCGAGGAAGCCGAAGTGTAGCCCAGGATGAGGTTGCAGCCCTTGGAAGCAAGGTTCTCGGCGATGGCGACACCGATGCCTAGATAGGTAGCACGGGATAGATTAGCTTTGCACAACGCAGAAAGGGCGCGGTGGAGTCTTGGTTACCCCGAGCGGCACCGGTCACGATGCCGAGCTTTCCATCAAGTGATCGCGACATGTTTTTGTTGGAAAACGTGGGTAAGAGGGAACAAGAGTAGCTAGGTGGGTGTGGAGGAGAAAGAAGTGCCGTGTCCTACAGTCGCCAAGGGCAGGCGATCGGCCACACCTTTTATCGTGAAGCGCATAACCTCGAGGGACAGAAGGACCAGACCTACCCGACTCATTGGCCTCCTGGGATGTCCCGCGCAGGGAAAAAACATGGGAGCAACGACGCGAGCGAATTGGCTTTGGCCAGGGACCCTCTGAGGCCCCTAGGACGCTGAAGCTACCCCGCCAAAGCAGCGACGACCTGAGCGCGTGCCCCGCGATGCGATGACGTTTGATCCGCGCCAATCGTCTTTCGCGACGGCCCCGACACAGGTACCTCTGTACCTCAGTCGGGGACCTTAGCCGAGAAAGCTTTCTGGCATGGTATTATGTCAGCATTTTGACACCCCCCCCCCCCGTCGCAACACAGTTGCGGACCCTGTATAGATCCCCACCTCAATCGCCAATTGCCAGCCAGACAGTAATAGTGCCTTTGCACTGGGGCGCAACACCGTGAGACGGACATCGAAAAGTCTCAACACCAGCCTGCCAGCTAGCTGTCCCATAGCTTCGACAACGACGTCTGTCCTTTATTCCTGCTGTTCGCTCACTCCACTCACCCTGCCCCAGCTCTACGACAAACGACGGCCACCATCCATAACCGCCACCATGGACATCCGCCTCCTCAAGTCCTCCGACCTCCCGCTGATCCAGCACGCCAACCTCGAGAACCTCCCCGAGAACTACTTTCTCAAGTACTACCTCTACCACGCCCTGTCCTGGCCCCAGCTCAGCTTCGTCGCCGTCGACGTGTCGCGCCCGGCCAAGACGCCCTACGACTACCCCAAGATTGTCGGCTACGTGCTGGCCAAGATGGAGGAGGAGCCCGCCGACGGCATCCCCCACGGCCACATCACCTCCCTCTCCGTCATGCGCACCCACCGCCGCCTCGGCATCGCCGAGAAGATCATGCGCCAGTCCCAGCTCGCCATGGTCGAGACCTTTGGTGCCCAGTACGTCTCCCTCCACGTCCGCGTCAGCAACCAGGCCGCCATCCGCCTCTACCGCGACACACTCGGCTTCACCTCCGACAAGACCGAGGCCAAATACTACGCTGACGGCGAGGACGCCTACTGCATGCGCCTCGATCTCTCCGACATTCGTGATCGCGTCAACGAGGAGCGCGACGCCGAGCGCGAGCCCCAGGGCGATGACCAGGACGAGGGTGAGGCCGTGGGCGATGTCGGCTCCGATCCTAGCAAGAAGACGAAACCTGATGGCGAGCCCAAGCGCAAGGTCAAGGTCGGCAAGGCGCTGGGTGTCGGCGAGCTCGTGGAGAAGAATGAATCCAAGTGAAGGAACAGGGGCGGTGGGCAGTCAGGGCTTACCTGCTTTATGCAAGGATGCCCGACAGTCAGGAGAAGGAATAAAACGACGTGATGTACCGAAATCACGATAGAAAGGGAATAGGAAACATAAAAGGAAAGACGGCAGTTTGGCACCGTCCTCAAGTCCAAGGCGGGGGCGAGGGAGTGTGACGGATATGGTATGATGATGAACCGTGGCCAGCGGCAAGCCAGATAAACTGATACTCTGGCGGTCAGAGGCAGGTAGAGGGGCTCTTCAGACTGGACAGCCTTTCCCAGTGCAGCTGCCAGTGAAGCGGTATATCTAGGTACTGTAGAGTGGTTTCAAAAGAGCACTCAGAACAATGACGCTTCACAGACTCGACGGTCTATCCTTATTGATCATGAGAAGAGCGCTCCTACCTGCCAGCTCCCGTCTCTCTTCGTTCCTGTTCCTCCAATTCCCTCGCAAATGCTTCGTCTGCCTCCATTCTTAATCGCTCCACGTCCCGCGTCAGTGAACTTACCTCTTCCTCGAGTCGGTCACTTTCGAAGTTCCTTCGCACCTGCTTCCCTGCGCTCACCGAATCTGTCTCTTCTTGTGTTCCAGCGGCCTTGGAGACGGCCTCGTTCTCAACATCTTCCTTTCTCTTGAAATGTCCATCTCTAGCTTCGTCGAGTTGTGCACATCGGCGAGCAAGCCTCTTCTCAAGCTCATCTACTTGGCGGAACTTAACCTGCGATGTCTGGTGTAGAACGTCTGTTGCCTGACAACCTTGACTGCCAGGTCCAAGCTGCCCCTGGTCGGCAACTCTAGGCCAGCCTCTGGCTTGGGGCACCCCTGGATGAGCGCCCCTAGAATTGGCACCACTGTGAGCACCAGGTATTCCAGGCGCATGGCTCAGAGGCAGAGCAGACGGCAGTGCAGAGTCAGGCCCAGCGTTCCACGCACCAGGAGGAAAACCGCCCGGTGGACACGTCATCGGACCCGGCCCCAGTGGCAGTACCCGCGGCGGAACGGTCAGAGGTGCCGGCCCCGGTAAGCCCCACGGATTTCCTCCTGCCCCAGAGGCAACACCACTCCCGTGCCTCTGCCCCCGCCACTCCTTTCGCTCAGCCTTTTCCCTCGCCCTCCTTTCCCGTCTGCGCCCTCTCCGTATACCTCGCTGTGCCCTCTTCAGCGCGCGGAATGCTTGCGATAGACTTTTAATATCGGCACGCATGACCTTGCTGTCGACATTCTGAGATGGGTACTCTGAGCGTGTCCGCTTGGCTTCGGCCAATTCAGCTTTGAGACGTTGAACATTCTGCTTCGTAATGTGTTCTTCGGGCTTTATCAACCATGCGTGCAGCGTTCTATGGAAGACGGGAAATTGCGAGACACTGAGGTCGTCATGATCCGGCAGAGAACTGAGCGATGAGTCGGAGCTTGCTGGTGACCCTGAGCCGGTCGAGGACCCAGATTCTCTGCGCTGATGCTGCTGTACGGGCAGGCTCAGGGGAGGGATGCGAACAAGTGGATAGTGATTCATGTGTGGTTTCTGATCATCTATTGGGAATGACCCAGGAAGTGAGCCTGGCCCAGGAGGCAATCCCGGTGCCTGCACCGGCCTCGAGTAACAAGTATTAACCTGCGGGCCGTGTTGTACGTACGGATGGGTGTTGTGATGTACGGTTCCCGGGTAGCCATGGTTGAATCCTCCACTGAACATGCCTGGCCCAGCGATGACGTTGTCTCGGTAGCTGACGCCATTGGTATCGGCAACCAGTCCACCGACGCGAACGCCGTTGCGATCCACGACGAACCTGTTGCCAATGGAGAAGCCTTCGTCGTTGAGTTTGATACCAGCAAAGTTAAAACCACTCGGTGAAACTCGCGCCGGCTGTAACTGCTGCTGTGGTTGGGGGGCCCAGTAGGGATGGAAAAATAGAGGCTGGTTCGGTGGCAGAGAAGGAGGCATAGGCCGGCCTAGGTGATGGGGGCTGTGATGATCAAATGAGGAATCCCATGCGCCAGGCATATGAGGACTGTATTCGGCTTGATGTTGCAGGCGAGGCGGCTCGAAGGCCAGTCGCACCCACATGGCTCGGGGTTGGAAAAAGTATGCGTTCCATTCTGCTGTGACGGCCTCTGCTTCACGCTTCACACCAAGGGCAGGCGATCCCACTGCTACGTCAGCGGCTGAAGCCCGACGAAGCTGGTTGAGGTGCACTGAGGGATGAGCCCGGCCGCTGGAGGCAGAACCCGTGGTGCTGTCTGTCTCGGCGAGCAGCTTGCGATCAATGACGGCTTCGTTACGTGCAGTGGCGTGATTGGGCAGTAGAAAGTTCAGGAAGGTCTGCCAGTCTGACGGACTCACATCGCGCTTAGCCCATTCCCGTCTGTAGGGGAAATCATCTGGACGAGAGGTTGATATGAGAGAAATTGTCTGAGTAACGTGATGATCCTGAAAGAAGCCCCTAGGTAGTGGACGAGTTTCGAAGTAATCGTGTGCTGCCGCTGATGAGAGCGAGGAGACCGGAAAGGATGACTCGCTGACTGAGTTGTTACGGCGGTCACTTGCGGATGGAGTGAGATTCACCTCACTCTGGTTGCTGGGTGAAAGGGCGGCAGCAGGCTGAAGTTGAGATAATGAGGCTGAAGAGTCTGGGCGGCCAGGCGGCCAGCTGGACGGGTCACAATACCGAGCATCGGTGCCATCAATAGCCTGATTGGAATGACCACTAGAGTAGATATCCGTCTCGGAGTATGGGGGCGGCGGCGGGTCGGGAATATCCATGGTAGTATGTTGGACTGGCTGACGTGCTTGTTGTATCAGACCTTCAGCAGACAAATAGAAGAGAATAGGTTCTGAGGAACCTCCGGGTGTGTGGCGGCAGACGAAATCCTGGAAACAGCAAAACCAGATACGGGTTCCATGGGGATACAATGTCGTCGACGACGATGAGTAGGCGCGCAATGATTGGTGATTCCAAGGTATTTGTTGATTATCGGCGATATAGGTAACCTTGGTGGTGGTGGTGTTTTGGCAGGGTTGTGGCTTGTTGCCAAAATAGGTGAATGCGGGCGAGAGTCTGTGCTGGGAGACGGGTCGAGCCTGCTTGCTTACCTCCGCTGCCTCGCCTTTCAGTGGATTAAATCAGCTCAATGGCTGTTCGGAGGGAGGCTGCTGTGAGGCGCACGCTGCCTGAGCTGGCGTCCAAGATGCGTTTGGCCTGAACTTGTCCCAATACAAGCACTTGGCGATGCGAAATGAACCGACTAGCTTGCCAGCCCGCCTTTCACGTACCGGTTTCATCCATAGGCTTTGGTATGCTACATGATGGCAGTCAACCAGCCTCATGATAGTTACGCAGACTGCATACTACAGACTGCAAACTGCCGAGTGCCGGGTTACCTCCTTCGGCTACCGTACTCTTCCTAGGTACGCTGCCCAACAATTCAGCCCTGATTTCAGGGCGACCCATTGACTATGTCGTGATGGCCCTCTGGGGCGCAAGGGCAGACTCGAGCCACTCTTGTGACGAGGGACGACGATAGGGCAGGAGGGCGAAGCCCCCCTCAAGTGGCCCCATCCCGCCGACCGCGTCACTGCACCTGCTTACGCGGCCAGCCCCTCCTCCTAGAACAACCACGGCCCTTTCCCCGATCTGCCATGATTGCTCAGCCCTGTCGCTCAGAAACCGCTACTCTCGTCCCATTAGAAAGCCTGCTGGCTTCTAGACTCCCGAATTGAGCTACAAGCACATCTGAGGTGTAGCTACTCTCATGAAACCCAGCTGTAGAATGTCCTGGCACAGGCAGCCATCTCTGTCATCGCCATGTATGCAGTACTTTGCGAGCTGACCACGACAGCTGCCACAACATCATGCTCCCTGAGCTCTTGATTTTATCTCTCCAGCTCGTCCCACAGCTGGAAGTCCACATCCTCCTGCTTGTAGTGGTCCGCAATGATGGTTGAGAGGTGATTGCGAGAGTGCGCGCCCCTGTCAATGTGTTAGTCCGGTCTGTCGCTCATTCTGTTAACACGAGTCCACTTACAGGTTGGTGATGTATGTGTCGACGAGCTCTGCCGGCACCAGTTCCGTGGCGGCGCTTCGTACATCGACGCCGTTCACAAGTGGTCCGTCGGCGAAGCTCACGTGGCTCATTGAGCTGCCCCATTCATTCAGATTCTCCTCGTCAACCGAGGTCTCTGGACTCAATTTATAGACGCCACTGAGAACAATTACTGATGTTCCCCGCTCCTTGGCTGCCCTTGCGATGATTCCGGCGCCTGCATCGGTCACGACGCCGCCATTGGCGAGCACCGACCGAGCGCCGAGCACGACCTTGTTGATGCGTGGCATGTGTGCCATGAGGCCGGCGTTCATGACATTGATAGACGAGATACCGACTGCCGACAGCTTCTTCCTAAAATGGGCATACGGCGGCTCGTCAGACGATGCACGGGGCGCCTCAGTCGCAATCAGCACCGTGAATCTCCTCTTGGCAGCCGCACGGAGGATAAACTTTTGCACAGTGGCAGAGGGCTGGTGAACGAGCACGTAGTCCATGGGGTGGATCTGCACCTCAGCAGCCGAAGCGATCTGGTCATCGACCTGGCTAATCTCGTCTTTGATCTCATCGATGCCATCAATGATTTCTGCCCTGATAGCGTTCACTCTGGTCTGTTGTCCACGCATAGGAGTGGACATACCCGAGCCACCAAGGTAGGGAGAACCCGCGCCGATGTAAGGCGATCCCGACGCGGTGCTGTGCACGTCCACCGTAGGGGCGGCCTCGAGCAAGCTGAGTAGGGTCTTGGGCACCGAAAAGGAGCTGGCAGACGTCAAGGCACCTGGCCGAACTGGTCGGGGCCCGCTGGATATGTAGTCCGCGCCGGCATCCTGCTTCGTGTACGTGGACGGGGGCCAGTGATGTTCGAGCTTGGATGCGTCGGCGACGGCCGCAGTAGGTGTCATCTGTACATCGCTTGGTGTCTCATCGCCTCCGTCATTTCGGTCTTCGGCAGCCTCATCACGAATCAAGCCCAGCACTCTCCTAACGATATTGCCGACAACGAGCTCCTTAGGTTGCGCCGCCACAAGCCGACATCCGACCTGCTGGACCTTCTCAAGCATCTGATCAACATCCTGAAATCTTGTCTTGGCGACGACCTGGAGGAGGATGTGTGCGGTGGCAACAGCGCATGGCTCGGCGCCGGAAATCTGTCGTCGCTTGAGGAGGCTAAATGGGCGTTTAGTTGGCGAACGGGCCAGTGCGCATAACCACGGGCAAACTCACGAAATAAGACTGTCAATTGAAGCTTCAAGCGACTTTCCCTTCAAAGACTTGAGATACCTCTCGAGCTCCGAGAGGCTCGGCTTCACGGACGACATGGTGGTATTGAATTTGGGCGCAGGGTGCTGTGATCGCTCGATTTCGGAGTGGGTGTTGTCGCGGGGTGCCTTCGTGCGCCGTGTCCGTGGGAAGTCGGATTGCGCGGGGTTCTTCCAGGAACAAGATGTACCAAATCAGCTTGCCGTGAGAAAAGCCTTGGTTACACCGTCTGGTATGGCGGGGGCTCGAAACAGGCTGAGCAGACGAACTAGAACTTTGGATACTCGTCGTCGAAGGCTGATATTGAAGGGTTTGTGGTTCTGAGTCAAAGCTACGATCAGCGCCATCCCACTCTGTGTGGAGGTACGTAGACAATGTGCCTTGCTTGGGGATGGTGGGATGGGGAATTTCACAGTATGAACTAACCACAATGAGTTAGCCGTGGGTAAAATTGAAGCCTTGGATCACGTGCATACACGGTTTTGCTCTGAGATCGCGACACCTCCACATCGAAACCAAGCATTGAAACCAAGCATTGAAGACGGCTTTGCATCGAATGATCGAGCTGCTGCTTGCTGTCAGGGCTAGCAAGGGGGTTTGGGCATTGGCCTAGGGCCTTCAACTCACATGACTACCTACCATCCATCAACAGTCTCCTTCTCATCGCTCTCGATTATTTGTTACATACTTACACAATATTGAATTAGGCAAAGCTGATGCTGATTTGCTCGTCCGTAATAGTAACGGACTAGTCCTTAAGAGAAGGGCCCCCCAAACGGACCTCCTCAAGCTTCACGGCATGCAGAATGTAGCCAGGACCTCGGCGTAGGTGTAATTACGTAGTCGCTTGGCATCGGCAGCTCGCCCTAGAGGATGACCAGCCAGAACACGTGAACCTCGTTCCCGTCGCCCAACTGAATGTGGAAGGATCAGCCCAGTCCCTTCTAACCCGACACAGACACGGACTCCTACTCAGGCCAGGTGCGACAGACTGTTGAGTTTCGCTTTCTGACAGCCTAGGCAGCCTGTCTATTCACTCATTCACCCTCCGTCTGCTTGCCGTGGCACAATTCTCGACCTCCAACTTCGTTGCTCGCGCAGAGCTCCCTTGGGCCGTTGCAATTCGACAAATCCACGACATTGGGTCCCCCCCACCCCCTTGCGCCAAACGCGACCATCGTTCGCAGCCGAATCCGAACTGTTTGAGGTGCCCTCCCCGTCCGACTGGACGTTGCATTGAATTCCGACCTGCATCAGCGACCATCCCTTTGATAGACGTCAGACTCCCTCGTCATCCCCGCCATCCTACCGAAAAGAGCGCATCGCCGAGGAGAAGCACTTCCACTTAATTATCGTTCATGGCGACTAGGTGATCGGTACTTTCTCTGGGGAAACACTTGAAGCGTCTCGGAGACTGGTCAACCCCCCTTCGGCCGACTTCGAACCTCGTATACGCAAAACACGCAGGTCGCCGTCCACTCGTTTTTTTGGCACCTAATTTGGACTCTACCGATTTTATATCCATACTTTTCTATTGCGCGTTTCCGGCAGTATCACCCTTCGCGACCTGTATCAAAACGTTAGCCCCCCCTGGTGCTCAG